CCTCTTCTGTGAAGAGCCTATTGAAGTTATTTTGCCTATTTTTCTCAGACTGTATTGTTTTTTATTGACCTAAGAATTTGTACATATTCTGAATACTATTTTGTCAATTACATGTGAAGCAAATATATTCTCATTGTGTGACTATTTATCTTCTTTTTATGTTATTTTTTGATGAAGAGACGTTCTTAATTTTACCAAATATATAACTTTTGAATACAGATTTTTGTCATACAAGAAATTATTCGATACCCTGAGGTCAGGAAGATATGTGCATATATACATATATAAAGCAGGTGTGTCTGTTTTTGTATGTGTGGGTATCTGTGTGTGCTTCAAAGTTTTATTGTGCACATTTAGGTCTGTATCTACTTGGAGTTTTTTGCATATGGTGTGAGGTAGGCATCGAATTTCTTTTTCTTTTTTTTTTTTTTCCTATATGAATATCTGATTGTTTCAGCACCATTTATTGAAAAGACTGTCTCTTCTCACTGCTTTGAAATGCTGTCCCTGTCATAAATCAAGGATCCCTATATGAAAAATTTGGTGAGGGTCTGGTCTTTCAATTATGTCCCATTAGTCTGTCTGTCTCTATCTGTGCCAGTATCAAATTGCTTTTTTAATAAGTCTTGGGACCTGGTAGAGCAAATCTTTCAACCTTCTTTTTCTTCAAGAGGGTCTAATCCATCCTTGGCTTTTTACATTTTAGAGTCATCTTGTCAAGCCACAAGTAAAGAAAGCCTCTTGGGGTTTTTGACTGGGATTACATTGAGTCTATAGATTGCTTTATGTAGAACCAAATCCTTATAATATTGGGTACTCCAATCCAGGAAATCATATAGTATATTATGTTTTTATCTTTGTACCTAACACTAGTTCCTGAGAGCTAATCTACTTTAGATTTGTGAGTGCCAAGTTTACTTAAATTTTGCCCTTCCCTTTACCTAATAATTATAAATGTTACAAATACAGTCTATTTTCCTCTCTACTCCTAAAATGACAGCCCTAACAGAGAATGCCATATCACAGTTCCATGGTCCAAAATTGTTCTTGATCCAAGTACTCAGGAAGAAACCCAAAAGACGTGTGGCTCTAAACATATAAAAAATATCTTAAAAGACTTAAAAGTAATTGAGAACAAATATAATCTTACCACTCAAAATCATAAATGCACACATACACACAATAGGCCTTCAAATGACTAACTCCCTAAATCATAGTTTAGAAACAGTATTTTTAAACAGTTTCTAGTTGAGAACTGAGGCTGAGAGAAAGAGACAGAGGGAGAGAAGTTAGCATAGAATGAGTACATATTAGTGAGACTTCCTCCAGTACTTAGGGACCTTAACCAGCTCTGGGTTCCTGATATGGGAATAAGCAGAGGAGTTTTCAGTGCAGTAAAAAAAAAAAAATGATTAATGGGCTTTAGGGACTGATTTATGGAGAGAGAAAGCAAAGCAGAAAAATAAACTCTGAAATTAATAAATGAAAGAGAAAAAAAATACCATCTGAAATACTTGACCTAGGAAGAAGAGGGACAGTTTATGGTAATGTAAAGGGTAATGAAGGCTAGGAATATTAAGCTGGAAAAGAGTATATGAATATTTCCACATAAATTCCTCCATGGTCAAACTAAGAAATTATTCCCCAGGAGAAATGGAGAAAACAAATTCTTGAGAAAACTAGAAGAGGAAAGCACTAGAGGCAGGCTGTGGGAAAAAAGAATTGTGACCAGTGGGAACAAGCGAGACATGATCTAATACATCTTTTCCACTCTCTGGTTTCTGAGATTCTATACATCAGTGCAGAGGGAATGATATTATCAAGAAATAAGAGCAACAAAAAATGTTTTGCTCAATTTTCAAGGAGCTATTAAGAAAATACAGTCTCTAAATGGGAACTGGATTCCTGGTCTTAAAAATATACAGAGTGTCCTCCTCTTCTGCAGTGAGTTTATGTTGCCGTCTGTTCCCCTGCGAGAGTCAGCAGGCGGCCTGCCGGCATGGCGGGGGAGACACGCCTGGTACCATGAAATCACGAGGTTGGAATGTG